TTATCGACTTTATAATCGATTTTGTTATCGACTTTGTTATCGATTTTGTAATCGATATTTTGATAGATTTTGTAATCGATTTTGTAATCAGTATTGTTATCGATTTTGCTATCGATTTTGCTTTCGATATTTTTTCGATTTTGATATCAATATTTTCATCGATTTCTTTATCGATGTTTTTATCGATTTTGCTACCGATATTATTATCGCTTTTGTTATCGATATTTTTTGCTTAGTGTGTGCTTTTGTTTTCTTACTTGGATATGCTCTTAACCATACCACGTATTCTACGTTTAAATTTAGCGGCTGTATCTCCGATACAGCCTGCAGGCCAAGACGAAGGCGCTGGACTGTTCCTTTTTTTATTTAGGGTTCCTATTGTTACTTTTACATTTATTAAAAAAAAAATGTATAAATTTCTTGTTTTGTGGGCATGAACCTGCGATCTCAGTACTATTTAGAACCGATAGTCTTCATGCGATGCCACAGTCGATATTTGTAAGAAAAGCAATTAATTGCGTTTTATGTTCGGCTTTGGCAATTCAAAGGCAGATGTCGCTGAACGCTTAAGTTAGCACATAGTAGTTAATGAACTGGTATTTCTACTGACTGGTTTGGCTTTTCACTGCAGGGTACATATGTGCATACCTATGAGCATGTGTGTAAAGTGATATTTAAAACTGAAACAAATTCCACTGAGGAATTAGGTTGCAAGCCATACACCAGAGTCGCATACACGTACATACATACATACGTATCAGTGTTGCAACGGTCAAATTTTTTCCTAACTTTCCACTTTGGAGAGTGCCATTTCCAAATTTTTGATGCAGAAGAAAATCCATATCCAAGGTGTATCAGTCTGCTATTCATGATACGTAGGCAGTCACATAGAATATGCTCTGAGGTTTCCTCCAATGTACCCATAACTTGCAGTGTCCTATCAGGTAGCCAGTGAGAGCTCCAAGACCCTCCCGGCTAAGTTCAAGGAGTCTTATGGATTTCCTGCTGGAAGTAGTTATGGATCTCTTTGATTGTCTCATTACGTTTGACTTCGACAGTGGTCAGCAATCTGAGATTCTTGCCATCTCCTAAGTAGTTCGGCAGTGTATCCTTTAGATATGCTGCAGAAAGACTCGGTACCATGCAAACGCATTTTGAGTTCATGCTTTGCGAGGCAGTTAGCTTTCAAACCCTTCATGCCCGAAACCCACCACAGTGTTACGCTATTGTGGGCTCCCATTGAGCCTTTTGTCCAGAATTGCATCTAGATACTTCGCCTCTTAGGAGAACTCAATTTCTGTCGCAGCCAAGGTGGATCTGGTCAAGTTGACTTTCCTTCGTATACATATATTCATATGTAGTTTTTCACAATTTTGTAGTTCAAATCAATTTAAATTAAGCGGCAGGCACATTAAGTATACATATTTAAATACATATGTATGTGTATGGATGTACATATTTTATATTGGCAATAATAAGGGTATACATTTGTACTTAAGAATCAGACATATTTAAATGTTTGCGGTCGCCGTTACACGACCAGATTGGTAAAATATTCGCGTAAACAAGGTTGCTAATTGTTTATAGATAGATATTTTTTATTTTTCGCAGATAACTATTATTGTCGCGGTACCTACCAAAATCCAATTTAGCCTATCAATGTTCCAAATGGAAAAAAACCTACCAGTTTTGGTAGGAAAAGTCCGCATGTGGCAACACTGATATGTATGTACATTAGACTATACCAGGAAAAAAAGTGCATCGCACATCCCTGAGTCTAAAGCACTTTTGCAAGTCAATTTAGAAAAAAATACATATATTTTTTTGCCAAACGTAGATGTTGCCTTCTTAAATATTTTTCGTCATAGATGCGGCATTTACAGTCGGATCTTGGAGTTTCAAATTTTAATTTTCTTGCCTCGAGAAGAATCTTTTTTTTTGTTCCAAAGTTCATTAACCTCAAGTACCCCGTTCTATTTAGTACTGACCCACCAGATAACAGTTCTTATCACCCTAACGTACCACCCTAATATCGGCAAATGATAGCTCCCAAAATCCAAAAAATTTTAAAAAGAAAGTGTTTCGAACGTTCCAGTGAAAACAAAAAAAAATGTAGGTGTCACCGAAAAATTCAACAAGGTTCTGCAAAAAAAAAAATTCGAAAATGCCTTGCAAAAATAATTTTAACTCAGGGGCGTATNAAATTTTAAAAAGAAAGTGTTTCGAACGTTCCAGTGAAAACAAAAAAAAAATGTAGGTGTCACCGAAAAATTCAACAAGGTTCTGCAAAAAAAAAATTTCGAAAATGCCTTGCAAAAATAATTTTAACTCAGGGGCGTACGCCGATTTTTGTTTATTTGCTGTAACGGTCTAATGTATATATGTATACATTTGTACTGGTATGTGCGTATGAATGCGCTATACATAAATACTTTCACATAAAACAGTTACCTAACGGATTTGGCGGCGAAAAAGAGCGTCAAAGATAAAAATTCGAAAAGGCTGAAATGGAAATGATTGAAATGAAATCGATATTTCTATGAAAAAATGCGAATTCACGCGATTATATGTAGGAGTGAGAAAAATGGGACATGAAGCCATTAAACGTAAAAATTTGAACGGTGAACAAGCATTCTTTTGTAATATTTTATTTATTTCAATTAGTGCAGTTGGTATTTTGTGGATCNAAAGGCTGAAATGGAAATGATTGAAATGAAATCGATATTTCTATGAAAAACTGCGAATTCACGCGAATATATGTAGGAGTGTGAAAAATGGGACATGAAGCCATTAAACGTAAAAATTTGAACGGTGAACAAGCATTATTTTGTAATATTTTATTTATTTCAATTAGTGCAGTTGGTATTTTGGGGATTTTTTTTTTTGTTGTTTGCTTTTGGTTTTGGTTGATTTAGATACAAACATACCTACATACGTACATGCATCGTTTTTTCAATCCTTTATACGATTGAATGACTTTCATGCATATCTGCATTTTTCACCAACTCTAATCGGGATATCTACATAGTGTTATTTTTTGTGTAGTAGATTTTTTTTTATTTTATTTTTTTTACTTACAAGTGAGTACATACAATTGTAAAGCCTTTCAATTACAGTTCATAATTTAGATATTTTGTGCACACCTCAGTAACGATTGACTTTAATTAAAAATTTCATTAAATTTGCATATGTAAGCCGGTTAAAAATCCACATGAATCGAATGCACATTGCAATTGCAATTTGTCAAGCGGCCAACTGTGTAGCCAGCATTTATGTACGGGTATATAACAACAACCGCAATATTAACAGCAAAAACAGTATCCCCAAAAAAAAGTGGCAACATGTAACGAAAATAAGTTCAGCTGTCGTGCGCGAATGCCGGCAGGCATTTTAATTGCTGTACATTGTACGAATGAGAGTGAAGAATTTATATGAAATTTGCATTATCTGCAAAAAAAAGAGGAAAAATTTTAATTGAACATCAGTACTCAAGGCTAAAAGCCGCACGTTGCGTGCACGTCAATTACAAGAGTGTTTAGAAATTTCAAATGAACTTGTGTGTAAAAGTGTAAGAGCTATAAAACGAAAAGTTAAACTAAAAAAATTATATTTAAAAAATTTACACTTTTGTAAAAACATAATTTCTCCAGATAATAAAAACCATTTTTATTAAAAAAAATCATTAGAAGAAACTTGAATAATGCCTTATTTCCACAGATAAGGCAACATTTTTATGATATAATTGGACATTAAAAATGCCGGTATCATTACAGACTAACAGTACTGTTCTGGCAACTCTCTTTCAACTCACTAAAATCTTTCGAGCTACATATGTCTATCTTGAAAATTCTTTTCTGACCTTCAAAAGAATAATTGAAAAATCTGCTAACGATGAGGTCTAAGCGTTATACTGTTTGTCTTGAGCAATAACTTTTTTTTTAAATAACTTAAATTAAAAATTATATATTTTTCTTGTTAAAACAATTAAATGTAAAAACCAAAAGAAAAAAATTTTAATTAAGAAAAATATAAATTAAGAAAAAATTTAATTTAAAATTTTTAAAATAAGTTTCTAAAAATATAATGATATTAAAAAATATATTCTTTTAAAATATAAAAAAAAATCTAAAGATTAAAAGAAAATTTAATTTAAAATAACAATAATAATAATAAATAATGAAAAATAAAAAAATATGACCTAAAAATTTAATGAAATGAAATAATGTGTGGCTTTTTAAAATAATATAATCTAAAAATTAAGAGAAAAAACATAACAAATAAAAGTTTCATAAACGTAAAAAGGCGAATTTTTATACGTAGATACTAGTTGCTAAAAATTATAGGTCATTAAAAAATATATATTTTTTTAAACAATAAAATCTAAAAACTAAAAGAAAATTTAAGTGAGACAAATTTAATCCAAAAAAGAAAAAGTAAAAAGAAAATTCTAAGTATTAAATAACCTTTAAAAAATTATTTTCAAAGTATTAAAATTAAAATAAAACAAGTAAGAAAGTCTAAGTTCGGGCGGAGCCGAACATTAAATACCCGGCGCAAGTATTAAAGATATGTTTTCCACCTTGCCGAAAGCTACCGCTATCAATTTTGATTAAATAAGCGTCCTTAAATTTCGAAATATTGCAGTTTCAAGCATTTCTGAAATTTATTGTTATTTGAAAAGCGGCCGTAATTTAAGACCGATTTCAACAATTTTCAACGGTTTGCTTTTATGTGGCAAGCACAATAACCATACCGAGTTTGGTACAAATTGCTAGAACGGTTAGCGAGATACATATATGTAATCACAAGTGGGCGGTGCCACGCCCATTTTCCAAAATTTTATCATAAACGTATTTCTTGGTAAAGAATTGTTGCAACCATCAATTTTGAATAAATTAGCTTTGATATTTACTGATTTATCGAAGATTTTGTATTTCTCGAAATTACCGTTATATGGAATGTGGGCGTGGTTATTGTCCGATTTTAAAAAGTTTCGGCCATTTGGTATGCTGTACCAGGACCAACAACTGTGCCAAGTTTGGAAGAAATTTGTGCAGCGGTTACCAAGATATACACATGTAACCATAAGTGGGCGTGGCTACGCCCATTTGCCAAAATTTTAAAATATTCTTATTTTTCGTCTAAAACTCATTGTAAATATCAATTTTGAGTGAATAATCTTCAGTAGTTACTAAAATATCGCAGTTTTCGTATTTCTTAAAATTACCGTTATATGGGAGGTAGGCGTGGTTATTATCCGATTTCGCCGTGGTTATTGTCCGATTTCGCCCATTTTCAATACCATCCGTCCTAAACCCAAAAGAAGTTCAATTCAATTTTTACTCGAGTTATCGTGTGCACAGACGGACGGACAGACAGTCACCGCTTAATCGATTTCTCTTTTCATTCTGATCATTTATGTATACATTTGTCTATATCTATCTCGATTCGTTTTGCCTGTTACAAACAACCGTTATGTGAACAAAGTTATAATACCCTTGTGCACAAGTGCGCTCGGGTATAAAAAGATACGTTTTTTGAAAATTAAATCTAAAAATTTGGCTAAAAAATACTAATAAAAACTAAATCAATTTCAAAAAATTAAAAGGATTTTAAAAATATGCCCATAGTAATTTCTTTTTAAAATAATAAAAGCTAACAATTAAAAGAGCAATAAATTAAAAAAGAAAAAACAATTAAAAAAAAAATAAGAAAAAATATTTCGATGGTCGAGTACGCGAAACTCGGATACTTCCAATGACTCGCCAGTGCTTTGCTCATTCGGCCATTGCAGCTGTTGAAGCAGCGCAAACAAAATTATGTACAAGTGCTTTTTGTCAAACGAACTTTTCACCATGAAAGTGGGCAAAGGAGCTTTTTTGGTAAGTCTTTCGCGTCAGACTAAAAAAAATAAATCTTTTAAACCCCCTGGCGTACTGTACTGTCTTTCAATTGTCAAATACAAAAGACTTTCAACTATCTTAGCCATAATTTCCCTGTAAGTCTGTTTCCCACATGTCCTTTTTCAAATGGTACACGCTTCTTAGCTAGTTTTCACATCTCAAAATCATTTACAGTGGAAAAAAAGTGGTAACGAACTTTGAATTTTTCATTTAAATAAAATTCCTTATACAACCAAAAAAAACAAAAAGAAACAAAANGAACTTTGAATTTTTCATTTAAATAAAATTCCTTATACAACCAAAAAAAATAAAAGAAACAAAGTGCAGAAATTAAGCAAAATCTGGTAAACTAAGACTAATAACTACAGTTTTGTTATTTCTTTCATCCGCCCTCCATCTCTTCATCATACTCACATCATTCATTGTGCCACGTGAAACGTGTACAAAGCTTGTTGCCTTTAGTATTGCCGGTTTTTGGGCGCGCGCCGCTACCAACACCAACATTTGTTGATAATGTGTGTGTGCATTAGTCCAGTCGTTATTGAAGACAGCTTGAGCTACGTTGATGCTCTGAAAAATATGTTAGTAAAAGAGAAACAAGTTAAACAATGCAAGTGTACATTTCTTCTCACATATTTAATTATACATATCCTAATTCCAAAAAGGCCCTAGCCAACAATTTTTTTTTATTTTACAGGAGAAGCAAAAAAACATTATAAAAAGAGTATGAAAAACAGGTAGGGCTTTTTAAAAAGTGACATGTAACGCCGTTGTTTTTGGAACCAGCATTTTAAAATTTTTATTGAAGGTATATTTTTATATATCCTAGCAAAATCTGTGAAAAACGCAGTTTCGAAAAAAGTGTTGCTTAGGGCCTTCGTGAATTAAGGTAACAATATTTTTAGCATTTGCATGTGGAATAATTCAAAGCATAACTAAATAATTTGCATTTCTTTGCATTGGCTAGAAACAGTTGCGGCTTAATGGCGGTAGTAGTTTGGCCACATAGAGCCGCTTTCCAGCTTCTCAAATCCCATAGTCTTAGGACTACACTTGCAGCGTATTTCATGCGTACACTGAGAAACAAATCAACCAAAAATTTGTAAATATTACCAAATTGAAGCTTAAAAAGGAATCAAAGTGATTTTTGGTTAATTTTTACAATGCCTTGGTTGATATTTTCAACAACGATGTGGTTATATTCACAACATTTTTGTTTACATTAAAAAAATTTCGTTTAAATGCGCTTATATTCTGCACTTCACAGATGCTTTTTTTGTAATTAATAAAAACCAAAGATAGAAAGGAAAAAATAAAAATTATGTGCTGCCGCTGACGACATTCGAATCGCAACCTGCTGGAAGCCAACAAATATCAGCAAGCACCTCTGCACGTTCAGATACAGTCAGACATACGATTTTTTTCCAACTTGAATCACATTTCTTATAATCGGTGTATAATTTCTGTGGGTAGGATATTTAGAGTCGTGTTCATTGCTACAGTAGATGTTGTGCGCAGAGCATTACCAATGCGAATAGCACAGGTACTATTGACACCAAATCATCATAAATAGTCCAACTTTCAACTTCCTTCAATTTAATTTTCATGATGTCAGAAAGCGTCTACCCCCTGGCAACGTACAACAAGAATAGAACTTCCAAACACAAGAAGGAAATAAAAGTGACCTGCATTTTCTAAGTGAAAATTAAAGATTTCTTTTCTTATTTATAAAAAAATTCAATATATTTAAATAACGGCATGAATGACAGGAAAATTCCCGAAATTTTACCAGAGTGCAAGGAGACTTACGGAAGGTTTCAGGCGACCTACTGACCGATGTACAGAACGTGCTTAAATTTTTGAGGGAACACTTTTCCACCCTACTGAATGGTAGCAGCACTGAAAGTTTATAACTGACTATGACGTGGTACGAATAGCAATTACGCGACAGAAAAGCAACAAAGCTGCTGGAGCTGACAGCCTGCCAGCTGAGATATTCAAGTACGGCGACGAGGAGCTGATAAGAGGCATGCNCGTGGTACGAATAGCAATTACGCGACAGAAAAGCAACAAAGCTGCTGGAGGTGACAGCCTGCCAGGTGGGATATTCAAGTACGGCGACGAGGAGCTGATAAGAGGCATGCATCAACTCATATGCAGAGTGTTGTCAGATGAACGCATGCCCAACGATTGGAATTTAAGTGTTCTCTGCCCAATCCACAAAAAAGGCGACCCCGCCAAGAAGAAGAAGAAGAAGAAGAAGAAGAAGAAGAATTGGGCATAACAATAAGCCGATTTTAACCATTTTACAGATTAAATTTTCTCTGTTTAAAACTAAGCTACAAACCGAATTTTATGTATATTTTCCAATCTATAAGATCTTCACAGATTTCTCCATTCCCATGCAAAATTACCACAGATAACAAATTACAGCAAAAACGAAATAGATATTGTACTTTTTGCCATATTTTATATGGGGGAGGGGGGCCTTCTACTGTGCGTCGCCTTCTTTACCAGTAACTGCGCACTGTTCACCTGCCGTTTCTAACCTCAGCTATCGCTTACTTAGAAACTTAAAATTATACCGACATATTTTATATTTATACTTAAACAATTTATTTCATTTGAATATCAACGCATTTAAGATTTTTCAATTTATTTCATTAAGCATTGGGTATGAGCAAATAAATCAACCCCCACTTACCTTCATCGACTGACACTTCATTGCGTAAGTGGGCGTATTCACTAAATGGTCTACCTCACAAAGCAATGCAACCTTACATACATATATGTACATATTTACATACTATGTAGTAGGAGCTGTTGGCATCATCAACTTACTTCAGCATATAGGTGGTCAAATTAAAATGTCATTAGCGCGAATGCAATGGCCCAACGCCTAATCAATTGAATTACTATTTGCAAGCAATATAAATAAACGTGCTGAAACTTCCCGGTAGGAAAAGAGGAGTTCAGAAAGTATGGAACTTGTATTAGTATTAGTAGTGTTGAAGATGCATTTATTTTTCAAATATATATACTTATTACTGGATTCCAAAGTTGATGCTTGGTTGAAAAGATAATTTTAGGTACCGTATATCTATCTCAGATCCTTCTATCCTTGACCTACGAAGTTCAAATATTTACATGAACTCATAAAATTAAAAATTTTGGGTAAGTGATACATGATCCTTGGAAGCGTAGCGATTAAATAATAAACAGAAAAGTTAAAATGCCTTGAAATTTCTCTTTAAACTGAAGTTAAATATTGGTATTGCTAGATAACTCATACGCCATGGCGCGCGGGGCAAAGTAGAATGGCTTAGTAATAGAGATGTGCGCAGGATATCGGGTCCCACGGTACTAATTTCAAAACGGTCGGCATGTTCGGCATCGAGAAGGTCTTTAAAAATGTTTCCAAAATCCTTTTTCGATATCCCAATAAAACCTGCAAACCCCGCAAATTCAGAAAATCTTATGAAATAAGAATTTTTTTATGTTTAATTAACACAAAAGCGAACAGCAAGCAAAGCAAAAAAATAATCGGAAGATTATAGATTTTTCATTATTTAAAACCAGAGCTTCGAAGAAAAGTGTTTTTTTTTTCATCGCACCGAGCTCCGCTCTTGCTCCACTCCCGCTCCCAATAAAAAACTTGTTTATATATTTATTTACATATATATAACCGACAAAACCGTAGGCCACATTTTTTTTTGAAAATTTTCATTTTGATACAGGAATGCTTCTAGATATGTGCATACAAAAGAAAGCTAAAAAAATTTCCAAGTTATTTATATATAATGCAAATTTATTTAATACGGTTTTTTTCAATGGCAAAAAAATAATAATTTAAGTAAGTTTATTAACTGGACATTTTTTTTTAATTTCTATTGAGCTTGAGGCCGTTACTGAAATTTTTTTGAAAAAACATCAATAAAATAAATCGTTATTGGGCCAGAAATAACAAAAACAAAATATTCAAAATTTTTTTTAAGGAGCTAAGGAGCAATTTAATTTGTTTAGCTCTTTGCTCCAGCTCCGCTCCAGCTAAAATCCTTTGCTCCTTAGATCCCTGCTCATTTGCTCCGCTCCGCTCCGTATACCTGTTTTAAACCAATTTGAAAGACATGTGAAATAAACTTACTGATAGACTTCGTTACCCAGGTGACCCGCGGTACAATTCCGAAAAACGTCGGGATGTGCGGGTTCGGGACTTAAAAATTTAATTTCGGAATGGGTGGGATAGGGATTGAAATTTTTCCGTGGTCATCTCTACTAGGTAAAGTAAGCTATCAATCTAAAAAAGGTAATTGCAAAGTGTTCTCTAACGAATGGGGACCGAGCCGGTCTAAAGTATGTAGATGTTCACCTTCTAAAGGAAGCCGAATCAGTAAGGTTTGTAACTCTAGCCATTTCATAAAAAATAACAAGTAAGTGGGGTCTTCGGCTTTGCTAAATGCTTCATATCTTAAGTGAACAATATAAAATTTAACTCCAACCTACTACTGCAATTTCTAATCAATTATTTGGAAGCCACACATTTATACAAACTTAATTTTTACTGTCACCTTATTATTTTTGATAAGCGAATAGGAGGAAAATTGGTTTACTTTAAATACTTAGATGTCGTACAAATGAACAGAAACGGCCAGAATCATTCAGGCGAATACAGTGCCGCACAAGAAGAAGAGGACTTGGGTCGGGCTAATATATGTTTGACGGCACTCATATGTATCTGAACAATCGGTGGTATGATTAATACAATGTCATAAAGACAACCGCTTACCGACTTGGGTCGGGCTAATATATGTTTGACGGCACTTCATATGTATCTGAACAATCGGTGGTATGATTAATACAATGTCATAAAGACAACCGCTTACCAAATTTCAGTTATGACTATTTTCGTATGCCTTTTAACGGGTCTCCTTTTTTTAATGGTACTCATGTTCTTTAAGAGAATAAAAAGGGGTATAGATCAGAAAGAAGTTTCCTAGAAGGCCCCTCCATTTCTAATTTTGCCGACTGAATATTTTTCATATTGTCCTAAGATCTAAGTATGTGGTAGGATAGTTAATGCGTGTGAACATTTAAGTGAAAAGGTGATTAGCACCCACGAAACGAAAACACTGTATTCATTCCCAGCAATTTGTAAAATGCATAATTAATACCTACATACATCAACCCATTTTTTGTTTACCCTTTCAATCAAATATCGGTTTCTCCATGGGTTTTTATTTTAATTGAAATATTCGCACTGAACAAACAAATGCTATTTAAGAGCCCTTCAACTAAATTTGCATGCATATTTATTTTTAAAACCTACCGCCTACTACAACTAGCTTTCAAGTTGTAAAACTACTTTGAGTTCGAAAACGTTTTTCTTAACAAGTGATTTGTGCATTTCATTGTGAGTACTGTGTATGCATTTATAATATGGACCTGGCTGAAGGGTTAGGGAAGCTTTTCATGGAAACAGAAATACTGCTTAGAATCAAGCGCACAGTGATTTTTTAAATGTCATACAACTAATGACTTATATCGCCAACAACAACTTCTGGCCAACAAAC